TTTCAAAAATAATGAAATGTTTCTTATTGTTTTTCTAATATTCCAAACCTACTTTTTCTGATTCTGCATTGAGAACTGAGTATAAAAAACTGAATTCCAAAATTTTAAAGTTAAACTGACCGCCAGATTCACGAAACAGGAACAGAATTATAAAAACCCTACTGTAAAATTTGCAAATGTATCTAGTTTTTTTTCATTGCAAGACTAAGCATTAGTTGTTATTTCCTTCTAATCACTATACTTGTAAGAAAAACACTATGTAAAGGTTTTAAAAAATTCATTTTTTTCTAAATTAGGGAGAAAAACTCGGAATTCTGCTCATAATTATCAGTTTTCTCCATCAGAGCTCAACTTCTGAGCGATAAAAATATCATATCCGGGATCAGGATCGAAAACTGAGTCTACCAATGTGTCTTTCGAAATTTTTAGTTGATTTTTAGTTTTTGGTAAAAATCTCGGTAAATTTTCAACGTAAAAATTAAACTAGTCGGATAGGATAGAGATACACCTTAGTGGATTCAGTTTTTGAACCTGATTCCGAATATGATATTTTTGTTGTTAAGAAGTTGAGCTCTGATCAAGAAAACTGAGAATTACGAGCGGAATTACGAGTTTTTTGCCCTGATTTAAAAAAAAATGAATTTTCTCAGCAACGAAACAAAATTTAAAAAAAACCTTTATATGCTTTTTTCCTTACAAGTATATTGATTAGAAGGAAATAACAACTAATGCTTAGCTGCGCTCCTCTTTCGTGGATTTGGCGGTCAGTTTCAAGTTGAAAATTTTGGAATTCAGTTTTTTATACTCAGTTCTCAATGCAGAATCAGAAAAAGTAGGTTTGGAATATTAGAAAAACAATAAGAAACATTTCATTATTTTTGAAAATTTCACAGTTTTTTGCTTATTTTCAAAAAATGGATATTTTTAAATTTTTTCACCAAAAAATGACTTCTTAAAATGTGGGATTGTATTTTTCTGATACAACTCGATGAACTTTATCGAATCGTGCTAGAAAAAGCGGAAAAAAAGTTCTTGCTGTAATTTTCAATTACCGGCACCTTATATTCTTAGCAAATAATGGTTACCATGCACCTAACGGCAAGCGATCTGTTGCTTTTAAAAATAAACGACTTGTTGATAGGTCACACTATTTGGGTACAGAATAAACGAAGATAACAGAAAAGGAAAGTAATTGTTAAACAAATGGATCGCAGGGAAAGAGAGGTCAACTGAACAATCATATGTTTATACATACTCTGAACGGTTAATCATTTCTCAAGTTAAGTAACTTCTTGGAATAGCAGTAGAGAATAAATAAGTAAAAATTGAGTATAAAACTGCCACAAAATACATTTTGAATTCAAACTAAATTCACTTGTTATTTCGTTTATTTTCGAGCTTTCGGTATGTACTCATACCATCATCAGGAAAACATACGACAAGAAGAATAATCTTGACCATATATATACAAAATAATAACGTTTCAAGAACAAAAGAGAAAGGAAAAAGATTTTTCTTCTTGTCATATGTTTTCCTGATGATGGTATGAGTATATACCGAAAGCTCGAAAATAAACGAAATAACAAGTGAATTTAGTTTGAATTCAAAATGTATTTTGTATCAATTTTATATTTTTACTTATTTTTCAATTTATATCTGAACGATGCAGCGATAGAACAGAACAGAAAAAATTCAAGACTCGTTTCATAGTGTATATGACTAAACGCTGTGTAGTTCTCTCATTCTTGTTCGTTATGGAATTTGGAACGTTCTCTATGGAAAAAATATATCAATATCACCTTATATGGGGTATCTCCATGCGCTGTATACCATCATTACACGAAGGTGTGACGCAATACCTCATTCGATAGAGAATTCAATTCTGAACAAGAATATCATTCAGAAACGATAATCACAGAAAACGAATTGGGGCAGGTTTTGAAGGTATGGGTTCTTCTGAAATCTTTTGGCGTTTGTACCGGTTTGCTTCCTGTGCAACAAGCTGATAAAACAATTTTTCTTGTTTTTTGAATTGTTGACACCATACCGTCTCACAGTGACTTGGAAGAAAAAAAATTCTATTTTATTGAAGATGTGAACGGACTCTAACACTCAAGTCGTTTTAGAGATATTGCGGAAACATTAATCTCATCGACAAATGGCGCTTCCAGCAATGTCCAAAAAATTAAGTTCACCGGTCCAGTCTACCGTTTGCCTCTCTCCACAATTTCTTTTGCACGTTTTGCGGAGACTGGAGCAGCTGTCTTTGTTCATTTCTACTTTTTGTTTCTGCTAAATCAAGCTGGTTTTATTTTCATTGCAAAACTAGCACATTTTTTCTTTAAACTGAATGGAAAATAATAATTACATCAGAAATTGCTCTTAGAAAAAATGAATTGCCTAAGAATGTCTCTTCTGTGACGAAATCGGGATCATTTTTAAGTAATCCAGAACGGACGTGTACGTCAATTGATCACACGGCACATTATTTTTTAAATTATGTCGAATTTTTGTTGAGCTAACATCTTGAATGGCCAGTTTTGCTTCATCATCAATCGGTACATAGAACAGATTTGGGTCGTTTGTCTTCACCAGATTTTCATGTTCTCCAGGTCGATAGACAACTGCAACACCCATATTCGATTTTCTCAGCTGACGAATTCCACCACAACGATTAAACAAGTCGAGACCAGACACATAAATAACCCTAACGTATCTGGGAAGTTTGAGTTTATCGTTGATAAAATTCTGGAGACTGCAGGCCACATTGGAAAACCTAACAAATTTATGAGCTAAAAAGAGACAAATGAAATGATTAAAAGAGTCTGTAGAGCGAAAGGTACTTACCCATACACTCGGCTTTATCAACCCTTAGCCAATGTTGTTCTTTGGCTTCTTCAATGGCTTTTTGACACATTTCAATCCTATGCTTAGCCGGAATCTGTTCATCGTGTAGCTTGCCATGAACGTAGTCGTCATGTGTCGGCGATATGTAACCACCGAGTACATTGAAATGATGTATTTGCTCCAAATATTGCTTAGTTTGAACTAAATTTGATATGTGACTACGGTGAATGGGATTTAATGCACCAGTTTTTATCAGCACAACGTTTTCATTGTCATTATTTGTACAATGACGCAGATTCGAATAGAGAATATCGATATCGGTCGTCTCGTCAGAATGCATCTAAAGTAATTAGAAGTTCAACTGACAACAAGGAATACATAAACCTTCATACGCATTGTGGTGGAGCTCGTTTTAAACGAAAAGAATGGCTTCTTATACGTTTGTGACGCTGAATTGGGAAAGAGGATTAGTTTTTACATATTTTGGTCTGTATGGAGGCTCCCTTATATATAATGATTCTGTAGCTTAATAGAGGCATACAACATTTTTTTCCAGGAAGACATTAGCGTTCTAGCAAAACAGCAGGGTACAGGCTTTGATCAGTTCGACCTTCTGATTAAACACACGGAAAATTTTGGATTATATTAAAGGGTGAAAAATGCCCCAATTGTTCCCCTTGTTTAAAAAAGGAAGGCAATAGATCCACTGAGTCTCGAAGTTGAAAATACCAGCTAATCAAGTGAAATATTACTAACTTTTTCTTCTGCTAGAGTAAAAACTTTTTCTTTCTGTTAGATAATTCTTTTCAAACAGAAATGGATTTGAAAACAAAATAATAAAGCAAAAAATCACTGCGAGTATCGTTTGTGTTTCATTTGTGCAAATAAAGAAAGAAATTCCACTGATGTAATGAAAAAAATAAGATTCCATTTTTGCTTTTGTTTTACTTTCACCAGAATAAAAAACGGAATGAGTTTAACTACTGACTAATGTTTGCTTGAAAGGATAAAACATTCGTTCGGATTCGTTGAAAGTGAAAGCAATCCTAGAAGTGAGTAAAAAATACTGCATGCTTCAATTCAAAACAATATTAAGACATTTTTCTCATAGGAAGGCAAGTGGATATTGTCAAACTGCAATCTTTATGATTCGATTCTCTAAATGTCCGTGCCCCTATTCATTGTGTTCTATGTATGAAATTAACTAATGCTAGAAAATAAAAATACACAGTTTATTACAATTAATACTTTTTCATGTTATTCCAATCCATAAACATTCTTGATACTATTATGCATGAACACATATCGACCCGTTCTATTCCTTCAAAGAATCTGGAAAGATCTAAAGTTGTACCTAAGTTGTACCTGATATGTGACGATGATTAATGGGATTTAATTAGCAATTAAAGCACCAGTTTTTATCAGCACAACATTTTCATTGTCATTATTTGTGCAATGACGCAGATTCGAATAGAGAATATCGATATCAGTCGCCTCGCCAGAATGCATCTAAAGTAATTAGAAATTCAGCTGACAACAAGGAATAAATAAACCTTCATACGCATTATAGTGTGACTTCTTTTTAAACACAGCGTACTAAGTACTTCTTTTCGTGTCCTTGTCGCTAATGTCGACCTTTTAAGAGATGGCATTAGAGAAATGTCTGAAACTTAAAAAGTCTGTAAAACTTCCACTAAGCATAAATCATTTTTGTATTGAAGCAGCAGAAGGTCTATATTTAGTGCTCAGATGTTGTCCAATGTAGAACTAAAAATTGTTTGATTCTTTGTTTAAGGTGAAAATTTTATAACAGAAATCAAGATTAAAATCACCTTTTTGCATGTTGAAATGACCATTTCAAAATGAGACGTTTCATCTTTATTCTAAAGACATCATCTGTGTTACAAGTTCTATGTTGTTCTATGTTAGAAGTTATATTTTATACACCAATTGACTGATGATGTCTTTAGAATAAAGACGAAACGTCTCATTTTGAATGGTCATTTCAACATGCAAAAAGGTGCCAAAAATAGTGTAAGATAACATACACAGTCGATGATATGCCAGCCTTTCTAACACAATGAAATGCCTTTCGATAAAACAAATTGTTGTGTTAAATAATTTGGAGTAATTTCCGGCTGTACATTTTTCTGTTGCATGTTCGTATCTTCTAAAGCTTGCAAATAGTCTTATTTTATTTAATGAGGTGGCATGTTCTTGTTGATTTTTACTGAGTCTGTACCTGTTTGAAGAACTGAAAAGAAAACATTTTCATGATGCAATTACTTTTTTCTTTCCTTTCTACGTACATGTGCAAAAACATTTTTTAACTCATTCCGAATGAAGAAAAAAGGAGAAAGTTGATAAACATGTTTAAGCATGAGTCACGTAACGCACAAGGCGCAAACGACTCTAACATATACTTTTCTCTATTTGGAAAACATGAAGAATAGCGTGTGCTCTGAGATCTCTTCTATTAAATGTCTGATTGTTAACTTTGTTTAATTCATTAATAAATTCTTCTGAGAGAGATTTGAACCTTTAATTAATTCAACAAGATTAGATGATGGTAATACTTAAAGTTATTCTAATACAAGAATGTTTTGATTGCAATAATTCAAATTTTTCGAATTTGAATTCTGAATTCAAACATAAAATACATACACAAATTTTCCATGAATTAACTGTTGGTTTCTTGATATAATCAGGTATATGATGTGGAAATGTAAAATAACTAATATTCGTTTTTATTTCTAAAACAAATTTTTGGTGTAGATCATGAAGGATAATTCTTAGATAGATTACTACCAAATTTTGCTCGTACGCCAGATACTGTACCTCTCGGAAGTTGCGCTTTCCTATCGACCATTCGCAAAGTTGTACGCTGCTGGACTAAAGCTTTTAAAAAATAATTTTGACGGTGCTGATAGTGGGGTCTTGATTAACGAAGTAACTTTGTGCGATAGTGGTGTTCTATCCATTTTTTTCACTTTGTTTTCTAATTGACGTATTGTTTATTATAATTTTAAAATTTTCTTTCTTTAATTTTGCCGTAGTGGAACGAGATCGTTTACTACCTTTCATTTTTCTTAAAGCCGTTCTTGTAAGTGGTGTTCGTATTTTTGTATTTAATTGTGATTCTTCTAATAACTTTTGTTTTTTATTACAATGATATGTTGCTGTAATTGCTCCTTGATTCTTTTCTATATCTTCTGTTAAATGGTTTTGATGTTAAACGTTTTAATTTTATGTTTGTGCGATTTTTTTTTGTATATTAGAGAGACTTTTAGTCGGTTTTCGACGCATTCTTTTATCTAGAAGTTTTCAAAAAATCGTATCATACATCCACTGATTAACCTAAGAAAGATGAATCCTTCGTATATTATTTGTTAAAGAAATCCATTCAGTAAAAAAAAATTCTTGGTTCAGATAATAACGGTTCAATGGCAGGGCAAACCCATTATGGAAACAATGAAAGCATATGATAATCAGATTAGCTTGCTGAGATAATCATGCAAGTTTATTTTTTTTATAAAGCGAAACAGAAACAGTTGTTTATACAAAAGGAAACCTATGTTAAACCGGATAAGATTTTAAATATCACCAGTAAACGAATTCATATCACCGACCGCCTTAGAAAGAAACAAAAACATCAAAAACTAAAAAGCAATTTATTGTACTCAGTTATTTACCTAAACGGCCAATTCTTTTCAAATTCTTGGTGAAGATGTGCCGTTCCAGCATAGATTTCATATTTAATAAATCCTTTTTTAGCCTCTGCCTATAGCGGAATCTTGTCAAAAATAGAAGCTGCTCAGTAAGGCGCTCCAAATTCAAAGAGGAAGCACTATTTTATTTTTGTTTTAAGTATACACCATTCGACGCAGAGTTTTGCGTTGATCATGAATATCTACTTAAAAGATTTTCAGTGCACTTGTTCTAGGAAGTTCAAAAAATTGAAAGTTGTCGTTTCTCCGAAATTTTGCTACTTTTCAAAAACGTTCGATATCTCAGTTCCACGTGGTCCTCAAACCTTTGGAAGGTATTTTTCGTATAGAGTTCAGCAAGCTGAACCGAACGGTGAAAACCGCAAATCTCTAGCCTTGTTAGAAAAAAAATTATCGCGATTTAATAACTAATTATAGCATCAAATGAAAGAGCGCGTCGAGTTCTACATATTTCGATGGAGAAAAGTTATGTTGCACCTCGGGATCTTGAGACAGATTTCTGACAAACTCAGTTTTATAAAAAACCTACTAATCTCAAAATTTCTTCACTTCTCCGCAAAATCAAATATTTGCCAAGTTCCTACGATATTGTATCAAAAAGTGCCATAGAAAATACAATATAGATCGAAAACGGCATTAAAGCGAATGAATTTATATTCATAACGCTAAAATGCGTATAGCTCGATCGTCCGAGGTCGCAGAAACTTGGCAAACATTTCATTTTGGAGAAAATTGAAGGGGCTGTCCAATGATATGGTTGAAAAGTTTCTGAAAGTGATTTTGAGCTCACTAGGTTTTCTATGACAACCGAGTTTTTCAGAAATCTCTATCTTAAGACCTCAAGGGGTAGCATACCTTTTCTCCATCGAAATATATAGAAATCGACGCGCTCTTTTATTTGATGCCAACTTCAAGATTCTTCGCTAGGGAATGTAGTCAGCATACGTTCAATAAACTAGGCCAAATCCACCAGAAAATGACGAAAATGCATTTTTCCGCTGCGGGGATAAAAAGGCGATAACCTTTTTTGTAATAAGGCTAGAGACTTGCGGTTTTCATCATTCGGTTCAGCTTGCTGAGCTCTGTAATATGAGGTAGGTCTCGTCATTGAAGTCAAAGTTTTCGGTGAGAAATGAATAATTAGAAAAAAATCACTTAGCCGATTATAAGGTTCCGCTAATTCAAAGATCAAGCAAGATGTTATTTTTGCCTCAAATACACGTCATTCGACGCAGAATTTGAAGCTAAATACGAATATCATATTTAAAAAGTTTTCAGTGCGCGTTTTCGACAAAACAAATAAAAAAACTGGAAAGCGGTGTTTTAAAATATACTTTCTGTACACAGTTATTTTCATACATTTCGTCACTTCCTTCATCAATATCAGATTACGTATTGGATACTAAACCAGATTTCATTTCCTCTTCATCATTACTATCAAAATCGGGCACAGTTTCGTTCATTCCGTGTATTGTTGCGATAGGAGGATACTAAAACAGAGAAGATCGATTAACCTATCGATCGAAGTTAGTAGTTTTTCATAAATATCGGCTAACTTCCAAATCAACGCTCGAAAGTAATGCATTTGGACGATTAGTAGCAGCGGTATGTG